ATGAACAACAAGTGATATTTCCACTCTTTATCGAAGGCCACAGGTGACATGATATGTTCTTAAGTACTTTAAAGTTACATAGCATTTCCTGCTGTACTGCATAAAAGTTATTATAAGGTTGATTTAAACATTCAAAACCAAACATTTTTACTGTGGTATGTATTATTTTGAATAATATGTATCATAATATTCTGTGAATATAATCAATCAATTATTAAGGTTTTTATTTCAAAATTAGAGCATCTGCGGCAAATACTAACACAATTAGGCGTTGTTCAATCAGAATCGATTGTCATAAATAACAAATTTAAGCGTATACAGATTTTCTCTCGGTTGGTTTGCAATTGATAGAAATGTTGAAATTATAAATGTCCTGACACTAAATGTGGATCCAGAGAACAGTGATTTGTTATTATATGGTACCGTTGTGTTGTAAACAGCAATGGAATTTAAAATTTGAGAAGTAGAGACTTAATTCAATGGGAGTGATGAAGCTATAAGAGTACTGTTGGTTACTTGAAGTCTGGAGGTACATTGCTATTTAACCTCTGGCTACATCCCAAAACTCTTCGTTGTGCAATCATTTATTTCTACTCCTTCATTTTCAGCCAAATCAAAAAATATAAGTTATTTTCCTCTGCCTTGCTATCATCTTTAGAAAGAGCTGTGGGGAGAGCTTTCAAAAACTACTAGGTGACATCAATAAATAAATTACATGGAAGTCTCACATGACAATCGTAAAAGAAGAGCCATGCAGCCACAGAGTGAAAATATAAAATAACACCAATCATGTGACTCATATATTCATTTGGACTCACCAAAATAACAGGTGATATTTTCCCTCCTCCAACAGCAATTAAGCAGTGGATAACACACTGTATCATAATATAGATATTTATATCTTACCAGATGTTGAGATATCATCTGCTAATTTCACCAAATAAGAAATAAAGTGGTCCATTTTGTAACACTGGATTAGAAGCTCTTGAGAATATCAAATTCAAAGTCTGAAAAGTAAGAAAGCAAGATTGTTATTATATAAAAACAGGTCATTGAAAATGACAGTCCCCGTTAAATTTTTGAAAGTTCTCTTTGTGCTTGTCATATTAAAGTGGAGGGGTTGTCGCTAGTGTGTCCTTGAAACTTGAGTCACAAGTGGCGTATACAAAAGATTGTTTATTTACATCAAATTCAAACATGTGTTGCGTGACGACCCCTCCGGTTTAAGACATAGCAAAGAAAAACGTTATTGCATTTTAAACAAACAAGATGGCCGCTAGTCAGCCATATTTGATCAAATTGCAAATGGAATTGACATGTACATGTATCCATTGATGACATGCTAAATATCAATGAAAATGATACATTGGTGACAGAGATATAGTAATATGGCCACAAATAAAAACAGCCGTTATTCAGGCATCTTTGATCTGATTATGAAACAAGGGGAAATGTATGATGTATGTGCCAAATACGAATGAAAATGGTACATAAATCTTGGAAATATAGTAGTAACGCCAAAAATTCAGATGGCTGTCAATCAGCCATCCTTCATCCGATTTTGAAACAAATTGTCATGGACATGTATCCTAACATGTATAATCTATGTACCAAGTTTGAATAAAAACTGACAAAGCATGTCAAAAATACAACATTTTCAAAAAACAAGATGGCTGCCAGTCGGCCATTTTGAATCGAATCGCTAAACCACTGCATGTGCATATGTCCCACATAAAGTACTAGGCACATGCAAAGAATGAACAGAATTGGTCCAAAGGATTCTGAAATATGACTCCAGACGGAGACCGAATTATAAGTCCTCGTTTTCGGACTTCGTTCGAACGGGGACTAATAATCTTAGTGTTTGACCATGAGAGGAAAAGAGGTTTTAGCAAAGTGATTGTTTTCCTTCATTTAGATTTGAGCTTGATTTTTTTTAGAATGTGTTAATTTTTTTTTGCTTTTATTGCTCTATAAAAGTGCATGAGAAATACATGTCAATGCATTGAAATATATACTTAACTCGTCAATTTTTCAGGGAAACTTTTAAAGGGTCAAATGTGAGATCTATGTTCACGAACTTAATTGTTAACCTCTGAATGATTCAAATCTCAAAGTGTGACATCATGCATGCATTTATTTTGACCATACATATCTCTGTACTAATACTTAATAAGTGCATGCACTACAAATAATGCAAATATGGTAATAGTTGATCACTGAGATTCAAAACTAATGGAATGTTTCAAATAACAATTCCATGGCATCCACTCAAATGGTAATGTGTTCAATCACAGGCTTGGCAACTAACATTTATTGATCAACTGCCTGTTAAATCTCTTAAAGTGGGGGGAGTCGTCACCTGCGCATGCGTCAGATGGCCATAGCGTGTCAAAGCATCTACCCATGAGCCTTTGTGTCTTTAGCATGTGTTGTCTGAAAGTGAATTACGGTACCATGTGACTGAGTGAGTATGTCTGTGTATATATATTCAAGATGTGTGCATTTATTTGTTTCAATTAAACAGACAATGAATAGCAAACAAA